CTTATAAATCATTAATTATGAATGCTATAATAGTAATTTTATATTTATTTTAATCTTTAAAACCTAAAGAATATATTTATTTAAAAAAAAATTAAATTAATAATATCAGTTTTGTAAAAATTGACAATTTATGTCAAAATTTATTAAAATTTAACGAGCAAAAGAAACGCAACTATGTAACACGAATTATTGTTGATCAATTTTATATATAATAGGTCATGCAATTTCCTTTTTTATATTTAATTTCAACAAAAAAAAACCTTTTCTTAAATTTTTTTAAAACAAAATGTCTAAAATGTTCAAAATGTCACACTTTCTAACTTTAACTTTTATTTACATTATGGTTCATCTTACTGAAGAACAAAGAATTCGTATTTGCACTTTATTAGACGAAGCAGTTTATACCCAACCTGAACTTGCATTACAATATAAAGTTAGTAGTAGTACTATATTACGCCTTTATAATAAATATAAAAAAACAAAAAGTACAAAAGACTTACCAAAGTCTGGTTGTCCTCCTATTTTAACAAATCGAGAAGAGCGTCGAGCTGTCCGTTATATTATTAGTGGAGAGTGTTCAACTGCAGTTCAAGTTCAAAAAAAAATGAAACAGAATTATAAACTTGAGATTTCTCCTACAACAATACGACAAGTATTTAAAAATAATGGTTTAAAATCAGCAGTTAAAGCAAAAAAACCATTGTTATTACCTCGACATAAAAAAGCACGTTTAGAATTTGCAAAAAAATATAAAACTTGGAATTTTGATGATTGGTGTAAAGTAGTATGGTCAGATGAAAGTAAGTTTAATTTATTTGGTTCAGATGGAAAGGAATATTGTTGGAAAAAAGAAGGGGAACCCTTGAAAGATCAACATGTAAAAGGAACAGTAAAGTTTGAAGGTGGAGGAATTTTTGTATGGGGATGTTTTACAGCTCGCGGAATTGGTTATTTATGTAAAATTGATGGTGGAATGGATGCCGCTCTTTATTGTCAAATATTAGAAGAGGATTTATTACAAACTCTTGAATATTATAATTATGATGTCAACGATATCATCTTTCAACATGATAACGATCCGAAACATAAGGCTTATATGACAAAAGATTGGCTTGAAAGAAATAATGTCACTGTATTAGATTGGTCAGCACAATCACCCGACCTAAATCCCATCGAACATATGTGGAATGAACTAGATAGAAGATTACAACGCTCAGATGAACTGATAAGAAATAAAGAACATTTATGGGAAAAAATAAAGACGGTTTGGAATGAAATTGAAATCGATGCTTGTACCAAATTAATTCAAACAATGCCTCAAAGAATTCAAGATGTATATAAACAAAAAGGTAGATATACTAGATGGTAATATTAAGTTAAGTGAGCTTTTAACTTTTTATCGAAATAAATAAAGGAATTTTTTTTTGAAATTTAATAATTTTTTTTTTATAATTTTTTTTTTAAATTAATTATAATTTTTTTGAATTTTTTTTTTAAAAAATATTTAAATTTATATTAAAAATAGCTAATATTTTATTTAGAAATGTAATTTTTTAAATTTTTTTAAAAAATTTTAAAAAAATTCAAATGATAAAGAATAAAATCGGACTTTATAATAAAATCGTTAAAATTTATAAATCAAACTTTTTTTTTAATTAAAATAACTTTAAAATATTTTATTTAAAGTAATATAAAGTTTATATATTTAAATAGCTCTAGTTCGGAGCTTTCAAACAAGATATTTCTCGTGATTATAGCATAAAATCACGTGAAATTAAATGAT